AGTACTATGCTGAATAACAGTGGTGAAAGCTGACATCTCTGTCTTGTCCCTAATCTCAGGCATTCTGTATTTTTATTTGCTCAGTATGGCAACCCTAATCTAGAGCAAACTGGAAACTACATAGAGGGGAGTGAGTCCAACTTCAGGACTGCCATTTATTCAAAATTGGCCTCTTCATACTTTCTTCTTTGACTCTGAATGAACAATGACACTTGGAACTAACTGATGTAGTTAGTGCTGCCTACCTAGGTCTGGCAGGCACATTAACCTAGAGACTCACTTGTGCTCTGTAGAATAGGCTCAACTCAGCTCTCTTGCAGTTGAAGGGGAATAAATATTGTTCCAGCCACCAACGTCTGAGGCAGTCTAATCCCACCTCAGTCTTTTGTTCCAGTGAGAATCAAGATCATGCTGCAACAGACTTAGTCTTAAAGCCCCACTTCGCTGCAGCCTGCACACCTGCTGTCTGGCTCGGGTCCACTGTCACACACACCACCTGTACTATGCAATCTCAGTCCCAACAGACATTGTATCGCTCATCTGTATAGTGTTCCATGTCTGTGCTGAGTATAAACCACTCTAAGTGCAGTAACCTGCCACAGGGTAATGCCACATGACAGACTCAAGAAACTTGAGCTTTAAACACCCCACCTAGTTTGTACCAACATTGACCTAATGAGATTTCCAGAGTCAGAACTGAAAGGTGGGAGAGGGAAAGTATCAATTTATTGAAAGAGAAATAAAAGTTAAATAAGGTCAATATACATACGTAAAAATGCTGTTTCATTTATAATATTTTTTTCAAACTAAAGGAAGGAGACATCATTGGGGACCTATATATTTGGCAAGAATAACCAAGATTTAAAAACACCTGGGGTTACCAAGGGTGTGAGAAAGTTGCTATTGTCATACAGTTTTGGTGAGTATAAATTCATATGGTCTTATTGGGCAGTAAAATAGCATAGAAGAAGTATGTTTATAATAAAGAAAAGTAAGAATTGCCTAAATGTCAATTAATAGGAACTAATAATTTGGCACACTCTCATGAGAAGAAGAGTGAGAGATTATATATAATGACAAGGAAATATCTGTGATATGTTAAGAAAAGGAAATCACAGGATTGTGTGTATATATTGTGTGCATGCTCCTCTTTCAGTTTTTAAATTATCTGGATTATAGACAACTAGATAGACTGATAGATATATATGTTCCATTTGGCCACTGAGCTACCTACAGCAATGAGAACAGGGAAAAGTACTCTTTCCCAAATTTGAGTCAAATATCTGTCCCAATTGATTGGTGACCTCTAAGCCAGTTTCAGATGATCAAATAGACAACTTTGGGGGCTACTCATCCCATTTTAAGCTCCTACCCCTGGTCTTACTTGGATTGTCGCAGGGGACAATTCACTCTGAGTCTAAGAGTTTTCCTCAGGAGATGGAGTAACCAGATTTTGTGGAGCCTAACCATACATAATTTGAGGTCCCCTTTAATAAAAGGTTTTAAAATTGTACGGAATTTGAAAACCATTTGACCATGTAAACCCTCTACTAGAGTACCCCCCACACCAAGGCAATGAAAGGCCCAGAGCTCAAGCTCAGCAGGGTGTGGCTGGTGCTTAGTCAAAGAGGAGAGGTGAAGTGGGGAGCCCAGTGCCAGGGCACCGTCCAAGTGTGCAGCTTGGCGAGGTGGCTGGTAACTAGCACTCAACTTTACTGCCCCTCTGTAGGGAAAGACAGAGATTGTTCCCCTACCCCATCCAGGTAAGAGTAATTCCATGAAAAAACACTCAAGGAGATTGGGGGTGTCTGCAGCCCAAATGGAAGAATATATGAAGGCAGGAGGTATTGTGGATGAGCCTGCACAAAGAGGGCAGAGGCTGCAGGGGCAGGTGTCTGGCAGTCTGCACTTCTCACTGTATGGGGGAGGTTAGCAAGTATGAATTCCATGGGCCAAAGGATGCTGTGGCAGACAACTGGGCATGAGAGATCTTGAAGGGACCTCACCCAAGGGGCTTCCAATCTAAAGGAAGAGATTAAAGAAGCCAGGGGTGTCATACCAGGGAAGCAGGAACTAAGATAAAGATGGAAGGGGCTAGCCAATGAGCATCAGTGTGGGCAGAGGTCTCTGAAGAGTCCACTAACAAGCCCCACGAAGAGCCAGCATTTGGAGGTCTACAGGAGAGACGGCTGCATGGAGAATGTTAAACAATACCATCTATGTGAACAGAACTGTACTCCTCTCATCCCTTCTCCTCAACCTTGCCCTACCTCCACTTAGGGAAACACTGGTAAGTGAAGAGAAGTGAGAGACCATGTTGGAGCATGAAAAAAGCACAGAGCCCACCCCTCTAGCCATGGCGGATTCCTGAACCATGCCTTAAGAGGCCAAAGAGGAAAGGAAGAAGCTGGGAATTAGAGATGAGGTTGAAGTGTTGTGTTATACTGGATTAGACTTTTAATATCTGAAAATGTGGCAGTTCTCAGAGCCAAAAGTGAACTGAAGGCTACGGAATCTGCTAGATTGCTATCAATGAGCATAGACAGGGAAATGAGAAAGAGCTGGTTTAAAGGCAGTGGGGAAAGAAAAGTAATGCTGTTTCCTGATTGTACCCCCAGTCTGTTCAGCCCATGAAATACATCAGTTACACAGGATATATTTCTCAATTTTTCTTTTTCACTTTGTTAAGAATGCTTACAATGGAGGACCTACCTACTTCATCATAGTAACACTATGCACTAAGACATGGTGATTTGTCATAGAATTTGCAACTCACAAACATGACGTATGATTCCCTTGACTCACATTCATAGTCTCAACAACTATCAGCAAAACATGTTAGAAGTTCTTACTCATTCTATCTCTTGATTTCTAGCCTTTCCATTTCTTCTTAATAGCAGTAACCAAAATGTGTAATTATAATTGACACTGATTTCTTTATCGTTTGCTTTCACCTGAATGACATGGGCAAGTCTGAGGATATTTAGGACAACAAACATAAAATTGAAGATGTCAGCACTGGCCAAAACTTCTGTATACGTTTCTCAGATTTTTTCTATCAATATATACAGTTTCAAAATATCTATAAGCAATATTTAAAACTCATGAATAGATTCTTTCTTTTAGCAGAGTTTACATAAACTTTCCTGTTTAATAATATGCTTTGACCATCTTAAAAATTTTCTTCATTTCAGTTTTCATATCAATGGGACACTATTTCACCAGTCACCAAGTTGATGTTGTTTCCTCAAGTTGATACATTTGTCCCCTTCAGTGCCACCCCCAAAACATCTAAATGCATCACTGCTCCTCCACCCCCCACCTCCCGCAGAATAATTTCATTCAGCAAACAATTGTTTGCACATTTATTAAGGACCAGTGTGAACATTGGGTACATGATAACAACAAAGACAAAGTTCTTGACTTCATGGGACTTTCATTATGTTGGGAAATTAGTCAACAATAAATTGAGAGATATAGTAGTTGGTATTCTCCAGGGATACAGAACCCATAGAATAAGTAGATAGGTAGATAGATAGAAGATAGATAGATAGATAGATAGATAGATAGATAGATAGATAGATAGATAGACAGACAAAAGGAATTGCCATACACAATTATGGAGGCTGGCAAACCCAAAATGTGCAGAGCCAATGTTGCTGTTTCAGTCCAAAGACAGTAGGCTACTGTAGAACTAAGAGGAAGATAATGTTTGAGTTTGAAGGCCATCAGGCAGGAGAATTTTCTCTTACTTGGGAGAGGGTCAGCCTTTTGTTCTATTCAGGCTTTCAACTGATTGGATGAGGCCCACCCACATTATGAAGAGCAATTTTCTTTACTCAGTCTACCAATTTAAATGTTAATCTTATCAAAAAACACTTTAGCAGGAACACCCAGAATGATGTTTGACCAAATTCCGAGCACCTCATGGACCAGTCACATTGACACATCAAATTAACCATCATAAGATATAAAAACAAATAAGTAAGATGTTTTATGACTGTGGACTACAGAGAAAAGAGTTCTGGCAATCTCATCACACGGTGATATGAGAGAAAGTGATGAAGGAAAGGGAAGAGGTTAATATAGGCATGGCTTTAAGTTACAATACTGACTCAAATTTTAAATACATTAGTATCCAAATGCCATCTTGTGGCTGGTTATTCACATTAAGTTTCATTTATTTGGTGCCATTCATCTCACATCTGTTAAGATACGGTAAAATGTTTGGAATCAATGGAATTGCCTAAGGCCCCAGGGTTTTTGCTCCTGTTTTGCTTATATTATTATTAGCAAATCCATGCTTGATGGGTTCAGGATACCAGCAGCGAGTTTCACATCATGTCCAAATGCCTTTTTTGCTTGTAATGGATTTATTTCAAGCACACCATAAAATAAAATATTCATGATCAGTATACATAAGGATGCCATAACAGAAATATGTACATATTTAAACTAACATACCCAATCACTTTACAACCCCTCTGTTTAGTGTAACAATAACATCATTACACAGAATCAACAGGACTGAACCATTTCCTCAAATCCAGGACTCCATAAATAGTAGTCTGCATTCCTGGACCAATGTTGTAATCTTTGCTTGGTAACATTATGCAGTCTAATAAAATACTTATTATAAAAAAGGTCTTGGGCACGGCCTATAATCCATTTCTCTTGAAGATATATTATCTTTGTCATGTAGGTCAAATCTTGACATTCTTTCCACACACACCGCCGCCACTCCTTATATCTGCATTGCTCAGAAGGCCCACTGAAGTCAAGGGAGTTGCTGGCTTTCTTTTTAATCAATAAATGGATGTATCAATCCAGCGCATTGTGTACCTTAAACTTATGCAAGGTTATATATCAACTGTATCTCAATAAAATAAAATTTTAAAAATATTCTACAAGGCAAAACATATTTATAAATGATAAAATCACATGAAGGAATATTTAAAACATATGTAAAAGGTACAACTACAATAATTTAAATACCCATGACGCTCACTTTGGCAGCGCGTACACTAAAATTGGAACAATACAGAGGTTAGCATGGTCCCTGTGCAAGGATAACACACAAGTTTGTGAGGTGTAAAAATTAAATAAATAAATGCCCATGTGTATTAGTTTCCTAGTGCTGTGTAGCACATTACCACAAACTTAGCTGCTTAAAACAATGCCCACTTATTAGCTCACAGTTGTGTATGTCAGAAGTCCAGCGTGGTCGGACCGACTTCTCTACTGAGGTTACCGCAAGGCCACAATCCAGGTATCAGTCAGGCTAAATGCTCATTGGAGGCTCTGGGGAAGAATCAGCTTCCAAGCTCATCCTTGCTGTTGGTAGAATTTAGCTCCTTGCAGTTGTGGGATTTAGGTCCTCCTGTCCTTGACTGGTGGCCCCCTCTATCTTCAAGCCAGCAATGGCATGTCAGTCAAATCCTTCTGATGCTTTGAATCTCTAACATCCTAATCTGCAACCCTGGAATAAACTCTGCTATTAGGGAGTTCATGTGATCAGATTAGGCCCATCCAGACAACTCTCCCCTTTGATTAACTCAGAATCAACTGATTATTAACTATAAATACATCTGTAAGATCCCTTTTGCACATTAAGTGACATAATCACAGATGTAACACAAAGGGACAGAGAGCATTAGGGCCTTTTTAGAATTCTTCTTACTGCGTATTGTACCCAGCATCTGTGTAACATGATGGAAATATTACCAGTCCTCTATGGGTATCTCCCTGGTCTTACCCTCCTCCTGCTCTCCTGAACTGTGGGTCTGGCCTTCTCTTGCTTTTTTTTTTACCCTTTAGCACATGTGCATGTAACACTAAGAAATATATCATTCCAGAGTATATAATTTCCAAGTATATCTAGATGAAATAATATGAAAATAACCTTGGTGGTAAAGGATAGTCTTTTCAACAATGGTGCTAGAATTATTGGATATCCACATGCAAAAAAGAAAAAAGAAAAATCAGCTTTGTCCCACACTTTGCACAATGTACCAAATTAATTCAAAATGGATCAGAGATCTAATTGTAAAGGCTAAAATTATAAAACTTTTAGAAAAAAAAAGCATAAGAAGAAATGTGTGTGGCCTTAGGTTAGACAAAGATTTCTTAAACGTGATACCAAAAGTGGTTCATGCATAGTCTTTTTATTTTATTTGTTCCTGTATTTATCATAATATTATGAAGAGTCATGGGTTCCTGGCCAAATAAATAATTCTGGTTAGCACATCTATCCATTTTATATCCCAGCATTCAGAAACCCTGCCTAAAATTACCAACCACCTTGAATTTCCTATTTAACATTCTCTTGTTACTTTAGAATATTTTATCTAACATGACTTTAAAAACTTGTTTAGTTCTGAATGTTCTTTGAACTTTTTTTGAAATGGGTATCATGCTCATAGCAGCACTATTCACAGTAATCAAGAGATGAGAACAACCCAAGTGTTCACTGACAGATGAATGGATACATAAAATGTAATGTATATACATACAGTGGACTACTATTTAGCCTTAAGAAAGAAGAGAATTTGGACATATGCTACAATACAACATGGATGAACCTTGAGGACATTATATTAGGTGAAATAAACCAATCACAAAAAGACAAACACAGCAAGATGATTCCACTTATATAAGGTATCTAAAGTAGGCAAATTCACAGAAACAGGAAGTATAAAGGGGACTACCAGAGAATGGGGGGCGGGAGACAAGGGGTATTTTCATGGGGATAGATTTTCAGATTTACAAAATGAAAAAGTTTTTCAGATCCGTTTCACAACAGTACGTTTAAAAATGTATTGAATTATGTACTTAACAATGGTTAAGATAGTAAATGTCATTGTTCTTTATCACATAAACCATGACTAAATAAATAAATGCAAATGCTAAATGTAGTCTTTTTTCACTAACATTATTAAATTATTTCTCATTGTATGTAACTATATTTTCACTTTTGTAAAGTATTACTTTCCTTCTTCCTACTTTCTTTGGTTTGTTTTGATAGTTTATTTTGCCTGACATTAATTTTCAGCATTTAAAAAAATTATGGATTAATGTCTAAAATTTTCTGAAATATGTTTTAATGTAGTAAAGATAATATACGATATGTTTTAATACAAGATATTTCTGTTATTGTTTAGAACATTTTTATAATTTTCATTATAATTTTTTCTTTGACACATGGGTTATTCAAAAGTATAATTTAAAGACTGTAATTACATTAGGACTTTCTAGTTACTTTTTTGTTCATAGCTTAATTCATTGTGTTCTGAGAATCACAATATATGGATCATTTTTTAAATGTTCATGTGGTTGAGAAGAATGTCATTCAGTTTTAAATATTTTCAAATTTTGGTCATCAGATTTCTAGAATTGCATGTTGCTTAAATCTCCAAGTAATAAAAAATTTTGATAACTTATTTTTGTATTAAGTTCTGATATATTTTGGTCCGTATAATACCTATTCTTTGAAATTTGTTGAGATTTGCTTTATGGCTTAGAGAATGATGCATATTTATAACTCTTAAGCTTGTCCACTAAATCAAGTTTATTAATAGTGCCATTTGAACCTATATTTCTGACTGCATTTTTTTAAATGTATCATCAATTACATATTTGCTAAATTCTCTACCATGACATTGGATTTGTCAGTTTCTTCTTATAGTTTTATCAATTTTGTATATTCAAATCAATTTATTGAGTATATACATTTTTAGAATTTTTAATATAATTTTTATATCTTATTGGTGAATTGAACATTCGCTATTATGTAATAAACCTCTATATCCTTAATAATGTTTTTATTTTAAAGTACATATTTTATATCATTTTATATTAAGTAATAAGTTATACCACCTTTCTTTTAATTAGCATTTACCTAACATATATTTCATACTCTCTTACTACCTCTATATAACCTTATGTATTTAGATTATCTTATGAATTAACATATAACTGGATTTTAAAATCTATTCCATCACTTTTTTATTTTTGCATTTACAAGTTTAGTTCATTTATATTGATCATGATTATATATTTGGATTTGTTTTAATCATTTTTATTTAATTTTCTTGCTTTACTGTATTCTTTCTCATTTCTTATCTGTTTCTCTGAAGCAGTGTTAACCAGCCATACCACCTAGAACTTCATGATTAAAAAAAAAATTAGTAAGTGTCACAGGTTGGAAGTGCCAGGGAGCACTTATCTCAGGAAGTGTAAGCTCTTGAACTAAAATTTATGCACAGTGAATTATGAAAGTCTTTCTTTAAGTATCAGCGCAGATAGGCAAGTGATGAAAAGATGTTCCACAGTACAGGAGCTTTTTACAATTCCTGGCTTCAGAATGGCTACAAGAAAACCCTAAATAAAATTATCCCTCCTTCATGTGGCCTGCTGGCAAATGATAATCTTTTAATAAGTTTCTCAAGACCAGAGCCTGGAGAATTTCTAAATGCTCCACTCTCACTCTCCTGTTTGTCTTAAAGAAGCAAATAGTTATGTGGTGAACTGTCTATGGAAGGGCCCAGGTGACAAAGAAGTGAACGCAGCCTATATGAACTGCAGTCCTCTACCTTACAGCCACAAAGAAATGAATTCTGCTGAAAGCTGAATGAGCTTGGAAGTGGATTCCTCCCAGCTGACCTTCCAGATAAGAATCTAGCCCTGCTCATATCTCAGAATAAAGTGACATATATTCAAAAGCAAGAAGTAGAGAGAGAAAGATGGCGGAGGAGTGAAAGGGAGTCACGCTGACCTCCTCCCAAAACCAAACTGGAATTGCAACTAAATAATGGAGTAATCACCTGGAAAGCAGTGGAGCGATAGTGGGAGAGGAGCCTTGGTGCCGCGGACAGTGGATTCGACTCTCACACATCCCAACGGGTGAGAATTGCGGTGGAGGCTCGAGAGGGTGGGCTGGGTGCGCACGGGCACTGGCACCAGAAGGACATTGAAACGGCCAGTTAGCGTCCCCCCGAGAAGAACGGGGTCTGAATCATAAACGGGAACCCCTAAACTACAGCAGCTAAAGCCGAGAAAATACAGACAAAACGCAACCCCAAAAAGCTTAGGGGCGCTCTCTGCCAGAGACAGGTGGCTGGGGATGCAAAAAGACATTTAAAGGGCAAACGCAAAAGTTGCAGCGGCAGCCACCCTCCTTGATCGCTGGGTACAGGCGGCAGCAGGGTGGGCTGGTGCCTGGGAAAAGACTGGTGAGGAAAACTTTGTGAAGAGAACTGACACGGCGGCCGGTGGAGCCCGGGTGATAACGCACTTCCCACTCTGGAGCTACCATCTCGATCAGGCATAAGAGAATCAATTAACCTGCCTTTTGTGCGCTCCGCACACAGCTTGTGCGCGTGTGACCTGCGGGGCTGAGTGCAGACTGGCTGGGAGAGCCTTGAGGAGAGACTGGAGACAGAGGCGTTGGGGAAAGACCGGGAGGAGGAACCGGGGAGTCCCGACTCCCTCCCCGTTCTGTAGTCTCCATTGTGGGCTGGAAAGGCGCGACCCCAAAGAGGCAGAAGCGGGGTGCGCATGAACCAGACTGCCTGCGATTGAAACGCAGTCCGCACAGGGGGTGGATCCTCGGCCGAAGGGGTCACAGAACTGCCCAGAGGCCCCTGAGGGGAGACTAGAAACGGAGGCATTGGGGAAAGAACGGGAGGAGGAACCGGGGAGTCCCGACTCCTTCTCCTTGCCGAAGTCTCCATTGCGCGGGAAGAGGCCACACCCCCAAAGAGCCAAAAGCCGAAAAGCAAACATAGACACCCCCAAAACACCCAGAGCAGGCGCGCACACTTGCGCCGAGTGACTGGCGAGGGTTGGCGAGCGTGTGTGTGACCCACGCGGGCTGGCGAACGCTTGCACCTGCCTGGCAAGGCCTCACACAGACTGGCACCCATACGGCCTGCGAGGGATTGCACAGAGGGGCAAGGGCAGGCATAAATTGACCTACCCGCCGCGATTGCGGAGCGGCCCACAAAATAAGTAGAGCTGCCCAGAGTCCCTGGAGGAGAGACCAGAAACAGGATTAACCGGAGAGTCCTAGAGCTGATTTCCTCCCATTTCCGTAGTCCCCATTTG